CAAGTATTGTGGAAACATAATCAGGATAACATTTAGGTTTAGCAGCTTCTACCTTAAAGGACCACAGGGCATGGAATATGATATGCCAGAGGGCAAAGGAGAGAGGATTACAACCAAGAATCACCCACCCAGCAAAACTGAGTATAATTCTTCAGGGGGGAAAGTGGTTATTCAGTGAAATAGAGGACTTTCAAGCATTTTTGATGAAAAGACCAGAGCTGAATAGAAAATTTGGCTTTCAAATACAAGACTCAAGTGGAACATGAAGAGTTAAACAGGAAAGAGATATAAGAGATTTATTAAGGTTGAACTGTTTGCATTCCTGCATGGAAAGATGATATTTATAACTCATAAGACCTTTGTCAGTATTAGTGTAGTTGAAGGAAAAAAAATATAGTAGGTATGGATAGATAGATAGATAGATAGATAGATAGATAGATAGATAGATAGATAGATAGATGGCTCAGGGTGAGTTGAAGATGAAGGGGTCATATCTGGAGAATAAAATTAAGGGGTGAGAGAGGATTATACTGGGAGAAGGAGAAAGGAAGAGGTAGAATGGGGTAAATTATCTCACATGGAAAAGACAAGAAAAGGCTTTTACAGTGGAGGGGAAATGGGGGAAGGTGAGAGGGAATGGGTGAATCTTATTCTCATCTTATTTGGCTTAAGGAGGGAATAACATTCAATTGGTTATGGAAACCTCTTACCCTTCAGGAATATTGGGGGGAAAGGGGACAAGAGAAAATAGAAGAAGGGGATAAGAGAAGGGGGTAGAGAGATAGAAGGGAGGGCAGATTAGGGGAATGGGTATACCGAATGTATGCCATCTTGGGGAGGGGGGAAGGATGGATGGGGGGAAAATTTGGAACTCAAAATCTTGTGGAAGTGAATATTGAAAACTAAAAAAAAAATAAATTTTTAAAAAAAGAAAAAGAAATCAATCCAGGAGGGTAAGACCCTCAGGGTTTCTGGAAGTATGTGATAATGTAAAAGAATAACTACAATGACTTCTTCAGTAAACCAATCAGTTCTATGTGGATACCTAATTGGGGTGTGGAAGTGACTAGGTCCTTTTAATATAAGAACTAGGTGCATAAGAAAATCAGAAGACATAAGGAAGTTGCACCTAATGAAAGAATGTCTCTCTCAAGTGCTCTTCACTGAGTGACAGAGGAAATAGTAGTCTCTTATACCATGAATTCAAAGGCAATGAAAATATTGTAAAAGGTAAAGATTTAAGAACTACTATGAAAGCCTTAAGAAAAGCCTCCAAACCAAGACTGCAGATATTTTAAAGTCAGTGACTTTAATGCAAATGTAGACACAGGACAGTAGCAAAAAACATGTTGGAAATTATGACTCAGATTTAAGAAATGAAAGAATGTAAAGATTTATGGACTCCTCAGGAGCCTTATAGTGTTGAGAGTCAAAAGATACAGCAAATAACAAACACTATCACGCAAACAAAGATAAATTCACATAATCCAAATAAATGTGAAGCAACTAGTTTTTATTGTGGAAATCATATTAAATTTGGCTCGCTCTGTGTAGTCATCTAGACAATCAACTAATTAGAACAGAGGTCATAATAAATATGAAATTAGAAGAAAGCCTGAATTTGAGAAGACTGAAAATGGCATCAGTTTCAGCCTGACCTAGTCAAACAAGGATCTGATGCCTAAAAAATGGGAAATGGGAAGTGACATAAATTTTGACCTTGACTATCATCATTTCCTTGTGAAATTGAACTGATTTAAAACAGTTGCCACAACAAGGAAACCATAAGATCTCAGAAATTATGTTGGTCGGAAAGCACTTGATCCTTGCCAAGCTGAAAAAGAGAGAGCAGCCAAGAACAACTCTGGCTTAGAATATAAACTAATTTGTAAAATGTTGTGGTGGAGGATGGCAGAACATAATAAGCATATGACCTTTTAAGATAATGAGTAGTACTGCATGTGAAAACAAGTATTCAGAGCAGAAATAAGCTATAACAACCCAAGAACTTTCATGGGTAAAACTTGAAGGACAATAAATATACATAACACAAAAAAAATTTGTCAACATTTCTACAAAATACTGTTTTCATTATTGACAATGGAGAAATCACTTCATTTGTACCCTAAACCTTCAGGTCCTAAAGTACTACCTGAAGGAGTACAAATGGGGTGGATTTGAGAATTACTGGCCCAAACCATGTACATGTTAAGGAAATTCTTGCTTAGGCAATATAATTTTGAAAGCATTGAAGAATGACTTTTTAAGGTCTCTCAGGGAGGAGAAGGAATAAAAAATAAAAAGCCAAATTGTAGTAATAACTTCAAAAGGCAAACAAGAATATCAGTAATTGTCAAAAGTTGTAGTAAATAGAGCCTTGGACTTGAACTCAGGAAAACTCAGTTTCTAATTGCATCTTAGACACTTAGCTGTTGACCCTGGGAAAGTCTTTTCATGTCTCTTTAGGTTTGATTTTCTTCATATATAAAATGAAGAGGTTGATCTTCATGACTTCTAAGGTTCCCTCCATCTCAATATCTATAATTTTGTTACTCCTTTCTCATATTTATGAAAGTTTAGTGAAAATCATCTGAAGCATATAAAGAATTCAATGTAACCCTCAAATGGATCTGTGATGTCGTTATTTTAGAGTCCCTTCTAAATGACTCAGATTCAGACTTATCCTGTGTCACTCTTGTCCATGTCCTCTTTTAATTCACTACAGAGGGTACACCCATCCTGCTGTGGGCCTTCATCATGTTTTCCCAACATCATTGGGGTAACAATGAAGTAAATTTTCTGCCATTGTGTCATCTCTCATGTTCACCATGAAACCGGCTTTTCTTTGTTTTTTTTTAATAATTCCTTGATGATGCCTTTTATTCCTGTTCTTTGGACTTCCTCATTTATATGTCTCATTCTACCCTTATCCATTCTACCACCTCTCCATTGCCTTCTATATGGTATTAATTTTTAATTCATTGGTGCTTGTTATAGTTCATGTCTCAATGTCATATACTAACACCAGAAGAATGCTGTTATTAAGAAGAAGGTCCTTCATTTTCATGGGAAGGTAGAGTTCATTAAAAGAACTTTGTAGTTTCCCAAAGGCATTCTAGTCCATCCTTTCTCTGATTCTGGGCCCAATTTACCATCCTTCTCTACTATCTGTCTTGTATGTGTACATACTGATAGATATCTATAGGGTGCCCATTTAAGTACATATTGTGATCTGGACAGTAAAAAGTCTTTATCTACTTTGACTTTCTTGTGTGGATTACCAAGCTAAACATATGAATGATTACAGATCTCACATTGGAGACTCTGCATTGTCCCAGGGATTGATGCAATCAGCACATTATCCACAAAGATAAGTATTGTGAGGACTTCACCATACACAGAGAATCTCTCTTCCACATGGACTTAGTGCTAGATCTTCTTGGTTATGGTAGCAATCACTTTTAGTGGGCATAAAATCTCTATTTTGTGACTTGTCCCACGTTTAAAATCATATGGTTACTAAATCAGAGTCTTTCTGTTGTATTTTTAAGGAATAATTTTGATACATGAATGGGAGACACTTTATTTTAACAATATGTAGGGCAGTGTATGGTTGTAGCATATCAAATCGCTTTTTCGTAATCAACAAAGAATGAACACAATGGGATCTTATATTCTCAAAATCTTTCAATTACTTTTGAAGTGGTAAAGATATATTCCATTGTTGAACATCATGAATGAAAGGCTGCTTGTTTCCTACTAATCTCGTTATAGAGAATACCTTTGAATTGTACATAGATGACTGTTCATACAGATTTTTTATAGATAGGTACAAATAGGTAGTTATTGATGCCTTCCCCTTTATATACCAAAAACAAAAGCAGAAGGAATAATAGATTATTGTCCTTACAGCCAGAAAAACCTGGTTTTAAATCTTGCCCATAACACATCAAGGCTGTATGACTATAGACAATTCACTTAACTGCTAAGTGTCTTAGATAATTATTTAATACTTTAAATTTCAGAGAAGGTATCAATTAACCTATACTGGTAGAGAGTATGCTCATCCAGGAATTCCTATATAAATGAAATCACAGGTCTAATCCCTAACCCTATATACTACTTGTAGTAGCTTAAAACTGGAAACAAGTTGAGGAGTCATTTATTATAAAATAGCTGAACAAACTGTATGAATGTAATATTATTGTGCTATAAAATTGATAAAAATAAAAATTCAAAGAAACGTAGCAAAACTTTATGAAATTACTTAGAGGGAGGTAATCAAAGTTAGGAAAAATACATACAGTGGATACAGTATTATAAATGAAGAGAATATTAAAGCAATGTTGAATCCTCAGTACATGGAATGATGAATCTTGGTCCATTAAAAGAGAAAAAAGAGATGGGGGCAGAAAAAATGGTCCAGAATATTGTATGTAGAAAAACTGCTGGGCAATTTTCATACTTTTTTTTTTATTTCAAGGGAGAATTTGTAGGAAATAGGTATAGCCAGACATGACAGTGACATAAAAACAAAACTCATCAATATAATACTTTGAAGCCTAGCCAAAGTTGATCAAAACATTTCACTTCTTCTACACAATGATAATTTTCTTCCCCAGTAGATCCTTCTTGCAACCTGAAGTGTCATGGGATTCTTGAAAGTCTGTTTGGAAAACCAAGTGCTGGGAAAGTTATAGACATAGTCCACAAAAGGGGGCCTAATACCATTTCCCTCCATATTTTACTTGAAATTAAAATTTTACATAGGGAATAGGGATGAAGGAAGGTACTAGGTCAACATTAAGAATTAATAATTTAGTAAGAATTTCATAATAGGCTATTTACTATGTTCTATCAATTATAAACATTTGTTTATGAGAAAACAAACCATTTCTGAAATCACTGTAAATTACATAATTTTAATACCATTCAATAGCCACTTAATATTATTCAACTGAGAACTACACTCTCTAACTCTTTTTTTTTTTGTATTCTAGGCAGTTCTATATAATGACCGTTCAGTTTTAGAGAATCATCATGCAGCTGCTGCGTGGAATCTCTTCATGTCCCAGCCAGAGTATAACTTCTTAGTCAACCTTGACCATGTGGAATTTAAGCATTTCCGTTTCCTTGTCATTGAAGCAATTTTGGCCACTGACCTGAAGAAACATTTTGATTTTGTAGCCAAATTCAATGCCAAGGTAACTAGAATTGTACCAGTCTTCATTTTGTGGTCAGATTGAAAGCTGTCAGAAAAGAAGTACATTTAATTACTAATACCTGTGTGTTGTTTGTGAAAGTAGAGTAATACACAGACATTCCAAATAGAGAAGCTAAGAATAATTGAGATGCTGTAGTACTGACTATGTAAATATTATACTTGACTCCTTACATGAATTGCATTGTGTTCTCTAATTCCATAAGAAATATTTCCATGTGGTTTCCTTTGGCTTACTTGTTTTAATTTGACATTTTAACCTATTTTAAATATCTATTAAAATATTTGCTATTCAAACATGCTCAAAGACCAAAGATAAACTTTGCTGGATCTAATACAAAGGTCCCAAATGTTAACTCAAAAACTTTACATAATTTATCTACTTTCCCTTCTAAAAGTTCTGAATAAAGTGTAACAATTACTTTGAAATAATGCTTGGGGTATTTCAACATAATTCATTAATTAACCATATTTGATCAATTGTTCATTATTTTTTATCCTTTAGATTTTTTCTATTATATTCATAATTGAGCAAACAACTAAAGGTATTTTAAATAATCTGCTTGCACTAATGCCTTGCTTCATTGCTTTAACATGTTATGGAAATGACCATGGATTTTCATATGCAAACCCTCTAAAGCATTGGCTTACAAATGTTACCAAACTGGAAAGTCTTTAAGCATAAGCTTGGAGATGTACTGTCTATATGTGCTCCAAGTACTAATCTTACTAAGTTTAGAGTCTCACTACCAGAATATGGTTACCAGAAAAATTTTTTTTTCCTTTATGGTAGTCAAACACAAAGTTCTCTAGGAAGTTGTGGAGAGAGCCCTCAAATCCATGAAATCAAGGGATCTTTTAGTAAATTTGCTGAGCCATTGCATGATAGAGAATGACTGATCTGCAGATAGAGATGCTCACCATCTGTTGTTCTGTTCTAGAATGTTGTTTAATATTGTTTTACTGAGTCAAAACAAATTTTCTCTTTGTCTCTTATACAGGTGAATGATGATGTTGGCATAGATTGGACTAATGAAAATGATCGTTTATTGGTTTGTCAAATGTGCATAAAGTTGGCTGACATCAATGGACCAGCTAAATGTAAAGAACTTCATTTACAGTGGACAGATGGTATTGTCAATGAGTTTTATGAACAGGTAATCAACCATGATAAATATTGCCATTAGCTACTCTAACATTGAACTTTGGCATTACTTAACAATATGCGATACTTTTGTTAACTGTCCTGACTTCCCTCTTTCACAGTTTCATCTCCTGCATATTAGTAGCATTGACAATTGACAACTGATTATGAAGGACATGTTTTAAGTATTTATAACTCATTTTTCACTGAATATTTCAATACTTTTGGTTCAAAACCAGAAATTTCTAAAGTTCTTTATGTCTTCATAATTATAGATTAATCTGAGGACTTATACAGATGTATTTTCAATGAATCTGACTTCTCTCTTACTTCTTTCTTCTTTTTAGTCCATTTCTATAAGGAGACAGAAATTGCTGTTGGAAACCCATGGAGAGATAGTGTGTTTTTCCTTGTTCTGAGAGTAGAGCAAATCTATTGATTCACTGCTTTCTCAAAAAAAAAAAATTGGAAAAAAATTATAACCCTGACCTCATGTTCTAAATGATAAGGAGTGTTTGGATCAAAGGAAGGAATATCAGAATTATTTTATACATATCTTTCAAAATCAACAAAGTATCTCTCAATTATTTATTCAATAGGCATTTATTAAAGTAAATGCATACTATGTTTTTGGCACTGGGCTACGTGCTTGGTATACAAAGACAGTTTGAAAAATCCTCTCTTCTCAAGGGTCTATAGTTTGATAGATCAGTAAGTTCATTGAGGAGATGGAGGGGCTCAGTAGACAGAGCAATAGAGTTAGAGTCAGATGACTTAGGTTAAAATCCTTCCTCAGCCAGTTTTGACATTTTTGGACTTAGACAAGTTCTCTCTGGGTGTCATTTTCCTTATTTGTAAAATGAGTGGGGTAGATTAGATGGCATCTGAGCTCTCTTCAGGCTATAAATCTGTGATCCTGTGATTCTGTGTGAATATCCTCTAGTTATCATCCAAGGTGAATCTACTCCATAGCGTCCCATAAATCTTACCACTGGGAGGCAACCCAAAGTACTAGGGACTTAGTTCTTGCTCTAGCCTATGGTTGCCAATAAAGCATGTGAGCTATCTATGAGTAATACCTCACTTCCTTTTTTACTGGACCACTTTCTTTTTTTAGGCCTACCTTTTGTGATGACCTATTTTATGCCAGTCTTCTTGATTGGTAATGTATTGTACCTTATCCATGTCCACTGTTGCACTTTTACATTATTCTTTAGGTGACCCTCAGTTTTAATTTTACAACTATTGCAGTGTTCCATAACTGAGAGCCATACAGCAGAAGAAGAAATATATTAATGTTGAAAGTCTGGCCTGTGTTTCAAAGAGAAGCTTTGGATTTAAAAAAAAAAGTGAGATGTAATTTCCCAAAGGCAACACATTCTACTTTTCTATTCCTAGTCAATTATTGGCTCAATTGTATGTCCTAAATATGTGTTCTAGTATAGCTACTCTATGGCTTGTCCATCATAGTCCAGACAACAGGCATCCTTCATCCTGTTGAATTTCTGCTGTGAATAATTATGGCTTTAATTCAGGAAGCTCTGATACATTGCAGCACTTGATGTAGTCAGCATGATACCATCCAAAAACTGTCACACATTTGAAAACTGAAAGATCTCATGATCTGCTGTAATGTCCCTTAAATTTGGAACCTGTTCTGGATGTCTTATATGACAGTGGCAAACAGTTTTAACTACAACATGTTTCCCTATTGTGTACCTTGTTTGATAATAATATTGAGTTGGCTAACAAAGTTATCCCTGTTTCTACATATTAAGGAATTTTGTTTGATTTTGACATAAGCCTTAAGGGAACTTTGCTGACAGAAATTCTTAAAGTTGGCATTTTTATTTTGCCACAGCAAATAGTATTTTGTTTTGTTTTTCTACTTAACAACAATAAGCATAATGGGGGTTTGTACTTTTCAATCATATTTGTCATGATAAAGATGTAGAAGATTATTTTTGAAAATCTGCCTGTTCACATTAACATGCATGCTTTTTTTCAATCATTTATTTCTTTCATTTTCATGCAAAACACATTTCTAAATTAGCCATGTCACAAAAAAACAAGAAAAACAAAGGAAACAAGATAATTATACTTCAATTTTCATTCAGAGTTCATCAGTTCTCTCTGTGGAGGTGGATAGCATTTTTTATCATGACCCTTTGAAACTTCTTGGGTCATTATATTGGTCATAGTAGCCAAGTCTTTCACAGTTGATCATCATAACAAAATTGCTATTGCTATACATGATGATCTCGCAGTTGTCTCTTCACTTTGTGTCAGTTTATGTGTTGCCATTTTTTTCTGAAACCTCATCCCTATTAATTTCTGATTGCACAATATTACTCCATTATGCCACAAATTGTTCAGCCATTCCCAAATTAATGAGCGTCTCCTCAATTTTCAAATCTTTACTAGTACAAAAAGATCCACTATAACTATTTTTGTACATATAGGTGATTTTCCTTTTTCTTTGATTTCTTTGAGGTATAGACCTAATGGTGGTACTGCTGGGTCAAAGAGTATGTACAGTTTTCTAGCTTTTTGTGCATAGTTCCAAATTGTTCTGCTGAATAATTAGACAAATTCACAACTCTACCAACAGTTCATTAATGTACCTATTTTCCCTCATCTCCTCTAGCATCTGTCATTTCTGATAGATGTGAGGTGTCACTTCAGAATTGTTTTAATTTTCTTTTTTTCAATCATTAGTGATTTAGAGCATTTGTCATATGACCATAGATAGCTTTGTTTTCTTCTCCTGAAAATGACCTGCTCGTATATTTTTGATCATTTGTCAGCTGGGGAATAGCTCTTATTTTTATAAATTTGACTCAGTTCCCTATATATTTGAGAAATAAACTTTTTAACAGAGAAATTTACTCCTAACATTTTTGATATTACGTCATTGTCTATGGTTCCTTTAAGCAAAATATAGGTTCCCTGCTTATCTCTTTTTTATTATTTCCATTTTTGCTTTTGTCTCAAATCATGACTGCTACCCATGCCTTTTTTACTTCAGCAGAAGCATAAGAGATTCAGCTCCAGTATTTTATTTTAACTCTGTGTGTCTTTCTGTTTCAAGTGTGTCTTTTGCAAACAGCATATTGTTGGATTCTAGTTTCTAACCCATTCTGATATTTGCTTCCATTTTATGGGTGAGTTCATCCTATTAACATTTAGTTATAATTACTGTATTACCCTTCATCCTATTTTCTTTCATTTATTGTGCTCTTTCTCTTTTTATCTTATCCCTTCTCAAAAGTCTGTTGTGCTTCTGATCATTGCCTCCCTTAATCTGTTATCCCTTTTATTATCACCCCTCCTCTTTTCCCATTCTCTTTTATTTCCCCATTTGGTAAAAATAGATTTCTATACCCAACTGAGTGTGTGTGTATATGTGTGTGTGTGTGTATGTGTATTTTTCCCTCCATGAACCAATTCTGATGGGAGTGAGGTTCAAGCATTACCCACCCACCCCCATTTTCCACTCCACTGTAAATATTCTCCCTTGCATGCCTCTATTATGTAAGAAAGTGAGCTTTTATATATCCTTTTCCATTTGGCCAATTCTGCTTTTTGAGGAGCTTTTTCCTCAGTGAATTTTTATACCTCTTTTTCCATTTGGCCTATTCTGCTTATCTTCCCTCTTTTATCATTTGGCAAATTCTGGTTTTTTTTTTAAAGTGTTATTTTCTTCAATATTTTTGTGCCTCTTTTACCAGGCTTTTTAATATATATTTTTTGGGCATCACTCTCATTTCTTTTCCCAGTCTTTCTTCCACCACTCTTATCTTTTTCTTTTAACTCTTGTGGGAATTCTTGTTGGGCTTGGATCCAATTATCATTTTATTTTGAGGCTTTGGTTGTATATGTTTTCACATTCTTTTCTTCTTCTGAGTTCATGTGTTAGTATTCTCTGTTCCAACACAGTAGCTTTTTGTGGTCAGGTTTGACTTGGCATGTCATATTGAAGTTGTGTTATGCTCACCTTGTGTTGGGGAGGCACTGCCTCAAACTTTTTCATGTGCTGTTTTCAGAAGTGGTTCTGGGGGATCTGCAAGTTTTCAGTGCTTTCAAGGTGGTATGATATGGCTGAGGTGTGATCACAGTTCTCCTGGTCTGTACTCTGCTTCCCTGTAGCCACAAGTAATAGCACTCCTCTTGGCCTGAAACTGTGACCAGGTCCCCTGCTCTCCAAGAGTAACAAGTGCTAGTGCTCCTCTCTGCTTTGAAACTGGGGCTAGAGTCTGTGCTCCCTTGTAAATGGTCACCAACACTCTTATTTTTTTGGAACTGTTACCCATAATTGAGTATGGGCAATAGAGTTGCCAATCAGTGACAGCTACACCTAGTGCCAGCAAAGGGTCCCCTGTCATCTGTGTCTGACCAATCATCCTACCCCCTTGCCCTTTCTTGGCTGAGAGCTCTCAAAGCTGCTGCTGTTACAGGTACTATTGCAGCTACCTATAAGACCCACAGATGGTGTTGTTGCCACCCTCTGGCCTAACCTCCACTCTGATGTTACAGACTTCTGCTGACCTCCTAAGTTGTTTTAGGCCAAAACAGAGTCTCACTCTGACCTTTTGTTGGCTCTTCCTCTTTAAAATTTGATTTTAAAGTTATTTGGAGGGTTCCTCTGGGTGCCTGCCTTTAATTCATTATCTTTGCTCCAGTCCTCCTTCACATACCTTCAAAAAGGATGTCCTCCATGTATTTATATTAAAAAAAACCTTTTATTGACATTAAAAAGAGGTTTATACATTAAAAAAAATAATATTCTCTTATTCGTCTTTTATTTTTTAACAATTAGATTTGAGGTTTTTCCTGACCTTTTGAATCCTCCCCTTTGTTAGGCACTTTGAAATATTTCTAAACCCTCAAATTACGTCCCAGTCAAAATGGGCCTCCTTTGTATCTACCAAGATAGTCTAATAGCTCTTTCCATCATTATTTTATTCAATACCTTATCTAGTTCCTAATATAGAATTTTGGGGACCATAGGGTTGAGTCCAGATGTCATTTCTCTGATGTCCATGACAGTGAAAGTGAATTGTTATTTAAAAGGAAAAAAATCTTTACATGTCTTCTCTATTCTTTGTTTTCTGCTTCCCTTTCAGTTTTATCATTAAATTCTCTTACATTGATTTTACTTATTAGAATCTCCTGCCAAGATTTCTTGATAAATTTATTTTTTTCCTCCATGACCTATAATATTTTTGAGACAATACTTCTCATAATATTCCAAAACAGTTTATATGCTAAGCTGTGTTTGTTTTGAAAGCCACATTATTTTGTTTGGCGATGTTATTAAGGTGATTGATTTTCATCAGTTAAACTGTTTAGGAAATAATAATAATCATTTTGTTATCTGTTATTTTATCCTTTACCCATTTTCCACCATCAACAATCCATTTACAAAGGTTAGATTAGTCTTCTATAAACTGTATTCCATAATTCCTTCTCATTTTTATCATTTCTTCCAGTTTGCTATTGATCTTGATCTTTGACCTAACAATGGACTGACTATACACAGACTACACTTTTGGAAATGACTAAAAGATTGGTAACCAGTTTGTAGTCTGTTAAAGTCAATTTCAATTTTTAGGATGCTATTTAATGTTTGCCTTTTTGAGTGTCTCCATTTCTCTTTGCAAAGAAAGTATTTTTCACATACACACATACATAAAACATTTAGCATAGATGTGTATGTATGTATTATATATGTGTATGTTATATAAATGCATATATGTATGTATTGTGGGTATATACATACATCCATACATAAATATGCATGCATGTATGTATAACTTCTTGATAATTTACATGATTTTGATTTTTTAAATTTCTCATTGCTAAACCATTTTCCAACTTGGTTTTGGCCATTTACCCCACGTCCCCTTTTCCACTGAAGTCACCAAGTATTAATTTTTTCCCCCTTTAATTGGAATGATCATATCAAGTTCTTTATACAGCTTCTTTACTTCCTTATCTTCTGCAATAAATATTGGTATATGAACTGAAATTATTTTCACAGTAGTCTTCTTGTTGATTATTATTCTGAGTCCTGAAATATCAAAAGATCGTGTTTTCCCTGAAATTGTTTCTTGTTGCTCCTAGACTATAAATGAAACCAGAATCCAGAAAGAGGTTGCAGCTAAAAATATATTTCATAAGTTTTCCTTGGAGTTGCAAAAGAGTTGGTGGAATTGATTTTTATCATATGTCTGAGAACAATCCTCAAATGAAATTATATGTCTAGAGTTACTAGTACTCATCATTCTTCACCTCTCTGTAGAGTTTTAAACTGTTGATAGTATTCTCCACCCAGATATAGTCCACTTGTTTATTTCCATGACCCTGTTTTTTCCTAATTCTCCTTCCTTCTGTCTGGCAAATTCCTTCCTAATCACATTTGTTGAATCATCATTCATATCTCTCCCCTCACCCCAATCACCCTTGTATGTGAGCATATCAAGATTCTGTCTGGAGATGACTTCTGTTTTCCCCCTGTATATTCTCTCAATGATCTCATCCAATCCCATGGGTTCATCAATTACCTCTAAGTAAACAATTTATATATCTTTATAGCCAGTCCCAGTCTCTTCTTAACTTTAGGCCCACATGAACAACTGGCTATTGGACATTTCCTTCTGAGTTTCCTGTAATCATCTCAAACTTAAAATGTCCCAAATGGAAATTACAGTCTTTCCTTCAAAAGCCATCATTCCTCCTAAGTTCCCTATTTCTGTAGAGAACATCACCCATTCATTCAGGTTTTCAACTTCAACAAATTATCCCTTTCCCTTATTCCCATAACAAATCAATTGTCAACCCCTGTTGCTTCAGCCTCCACAATATAGCTTGCTTGCATCTGCCTCCTCTGCATTAATTAATCTAATTCATAAGTCCACCACTTAATCCATGAACTATTACAATAACCTTTTAATTTATTCCTTGCTTCCCATCTATTCCCTCCCTAATCTAGTTTCAACACAATTATAAAATTCTGAACTTCATTGTTTCAATTCTACTTCACACCTGTATTTCATTCAGAAAAGTTATGCTTTATTCCACTATGATAAAAAATCATTAATATTTACAATTATCAAAGATTAATAGCTAAAATTAAGTACTCTACCATAATGCTTTTGAAAATGGACCAGGTTTAAAAAATAATTTGGGCTGACTTAGATACATAGCTTTAGAATATGATTGAAATATTTCTTACTTATTGACTTGACTTCATTTTAATTGCCGCTTTTCACTGAACTGTTTTCCTGTAGAAGAGTAATGAGGTATTCTAATTTCTAGGGTGATGAAGAGGCCAGCCTTGGGCTTCCCATAAGCCCTTTTATGGACCGTTCTGCTCCTCAGTTGGCAAATCTTCAGGAATCTTTCATCTCTCATATTGTGGGGCCATTGTGCAACAGTTATGACTCTGCAGGACTGATGCCTGGGAAATGGGTGGAAGACAGTGATGAATCAGGAGGAGACACAGATGACCGGGAAGAAGTAGAACCAGCAAATGAAGAGGAAACTTGTGAAAATGTTGAATCTGCAGGTAAGCTAGGCATCTGTCCCCATTTGTATTTTCCCAAAGGCAATTCACAGAACTGGAATCAAAGCATCAGCTTTTCAATTATTAAACATTCTGGCTTAAACATAAGCATCTCTTCTGGGTTTGCTTCCAGATATTCCTCCTCAAACAATGATGGCAGATGAAATTTACAGTGAATTCTAAAGTGTATGTAACATGTTATAATAATAATACTAGAGAGAGAGAAGGGAACAAGCATTGACATAGTGCCACTCTGTGCCAAGGATTTTACAAATATTATCTCATTTGATCCTCACAATGAACCTGGGAGACAGATGATATTATTATGTCCATTTTCATAGTTGAAGAAACTGAGAAAGAATGAGGTTAAATGACTTGCCCTGGGTCACACAGCTATTAAGTGTCTGAGATCAGATTTAAACTCAGATCTTCCTGACTCCAGGCCCACTGTTTATCCACTGCACCACCTAGCTGTCTAGTAATCAGTCAGTTAGTCAATAAACATTTCTTAAGATCTCACCATTTGTCAGGTACTGTGCTAAGTTCTGGGGATACAAAGAATGGCAAAAGATAGTCTGTTCCCTTAAAAATCTCACAATCCAATGGGGAGAAACCACAAAGAAACAAACATGTACAATCAAGCTATATACCAGATAAATAGAAACTGCTTAACAGAGGGAAAGCAGTAAAATTAGGAGGGATTGGGAAAGGCTTCCCAACTTCTTATAATGTCAGTATTCTGTAGATCATAAGCATAAATATGTATTTATAGTAGCTAAGGTAGGTACATGGGTACCTGACACAAAGCAATAAATCTGAAATGCCTTCAGCATCCCACTTTCACATAAATAAACCTGTTCTCTGATTCAGAAAGAAATGCTTTCTTAATACTTTTTATCACTTTGGCTCTGCATCTTTGTACAAAGGTTGTCATCTATATATAAGAGCCTGGGTTTTTTCCCTCAGCGTTTCATATTTCTTAAACATGAAGTTCTGCCTTTTCCGCCTCTAGAAGATAAAGTTTAAAATTTTGGTGAATAAAGAAATAACATTGGGGCCAAAGAAACTTCCATATTCAAATCAACATTCATGAACTGCTTGCTTATGTTCCATGTTCCCTTGTGATATTGCCTTTTTCTTGTTTTTATTCTCTTTCACCAGGAGATAATGACTCCCCCAAGGGTAAGTAAGCATTTATCTGTTCAGTATAAACTGGCATATTTCATACCTCTTCTAGTAGTCAACAGAAAGTATCAGTGAGTGCTGTCCTCTTTTGAGTGAATAACATCATGAGAATACTTTACCTATTCTACCTAAACTCCAAAAGCCAGAAATTCCTATTCTTCCCATCCTTAACTCAGTAAATTATTAGAATTTATTGTCTCTGCACCAGCCTTTTACATGTCCTGTTCCTGTGACAATAGTTCCTTTGTGACCTCATCTTTGCCTCGATACAGAAAATCTCTATGACAATAAATTGCAAGTGAGCTGCTGATCTCTATCTGGGGAGAAGCTCCCAAAACCAGTGAAATCATTTGTGTAGATTCAAGGAGAGGGAACGTCAAGTAGTTCAGAGCACAGGCCTTTGAATCAAAAGACTTGGTTTCAAAATTACAGTAGTCACGTGATGTCTGTCCACAAGTTTCTTCCCTTCTCTTAGCTTTTTCTCTTTTTACATACTTTTCTCCTTTATAAAATGAAGATAATAAATTTTGCAGTATTTGCCTCTTGGAGATATTAAATAAAGTGCTATATAAATGTGAAATTTCCTGGCTCCTAGAATAGTACATCACTAATAGTAGGTGCTTAATAAGCATTTGCTGAAAGGAATTAATGAATTAGTGAAATATAACCTTTCCATTCTCATTGCGTTTCAGAATTTAGTCAAAATTCATTCAGAAAATATGTGCCCTGGCCTGTTTTGGTAATCTGGATTTTTTATAGATACCATAACTATTCCCATTCCTATTAGTGGAGAATGCATTTTTGTAGCAATTTGTTATACCCAGGAAGATTGTTAAAAATGTTTAATGCAACCTAGCCATGTAGAATTCTGGGGCTGGTAGGGATCTTTGAAGGCCATGTAGCTCAACCCCCTTATTTTATAGATAAAGGAACTGAGACCTTGGAAAGGACAATGACTTTGGTAAGGATTCTAAAGTGATTATTGCCCTTTATTTAATTATTTTATTCTTTCTCTTAGTTCAGAATTGGTATTGGCTTTAATTAATAATCATTTGATCTAGTCTGTTATTTGCATTCAAGTACAGTTGCAAACCTCAAATATGCTCTGGTATCTACTGAGGTTTAAAAAATTTGGATGTTTCCCAGGAAACACAGGATTAATACGCTATTCTGAGGAAAGAGAGGCTTTTAAAAATTCTCATAATTAAATCTGAAAGATTCCTGTGGGGGCCTAAGAACTTTCTAATGAAGCACTAAGCTGGGTTTAGGCTTGCAACATTGAAAAGCTCTTTGTTCACAGTTCAGAAGCTTCCAGTACTGAATAATTTAGTCCTTTAGACCACCTGCAGACTTAAATCTGTGCACATTTTTGGGGTACAAACATTCTTGTATATCACCTTATTAAGTAAAATTTACAGAGAGGTCTATTGCTGAAGTTTTACATCAGTAACAAGGAAACCATTCCTTTCTAAATATGCTTCATGGAAAAGAAAAAGAACATTTGAGCTTTGTGTTAATAAATTAATCATCAGAAATCTATTTCCAAAACATTAGTAGCTTAAATTGACATTTTTAGCAGCAGAATGTCTCCTACAGTTATGACTGTATGTGTGTAGGTGGGCCAAATAATTTACTTTTATTCTTTCTTTAACCAGAGAATGATCTGAATTCAGGTATACTATATTGGTTCAGATATTAGCCACCTCTAAGTATAGACTACAGGCTAAACATGAAATCACTTGGAAAAGAAAACACACACAAACACACATACATACATACACACACAGAAATAGCACTAATTACATGCCATACCTATAATATGTGTTACATGCCATAGCTGAGGGGAGGTAAACACTATTCGGGCCAATATGTAATAATAGGGTACTTCATAATATAATAAAATTCATTGAAGAAAAGCATAGGATTTTGATCTGTAAAAGTCTTTAGAGGTCTAACCCAAACCCTTCATTTTACAAATGAGGAAACAGGGCTACCCAGAAAAGGGAAGTAATTTGGAAACTATCTCCTATACAATTCTTTTTTTTTTTCTGTTACCTTCACATATCGATAGTTTCTTAGAAAGATTTAACTGTACTGCCTTTCCTAACTGATTCTGAGTCTTTCCTCCACGAAAAATTTGCCTTGTAAATGATAGAACAATCAAGACATTTGCTCTCAATTGATTGTTTGGTTGATTACTCTCAATTAGTTAGCAATTATTAAACACCGACTATGTACTAGACCAGAGGTGGGGAACCTGCTGCCTCAAGGTCACATGTGGCCATCTAGGCCCCCAAATGGGGCCCTTTGACTGATTTTGATGAATCTTTGTTCTGTGAAGTTTGGATTTAGTAGAGCCACACTTGAGGACCTATAGAGGGCCACATTTGGCCTTGAGGCAGCAGGTTCCCCACCCCTGTGTAACTAGACACTGTGCTAAGCACTGAGGATACACAGAAAGAGAAGGGGGAAAAACGCAGTCCATGCTTTTAAGAAGCACCTCGTGCAAGCAAGTATGTGAGACATATACAGGATAAATTAAAGGTAGCCTCAGGAGGAAGGCACTAAGATTAAGGAGGACTGGGAAAGGCTTCTTGCAGAAGGTAAGACTCTAACTGAAACTTAAAGAAACTTAGGAGGTAGAATTGAGAAGGGGAGAGCATTGCAGACAGAGAGAGAAAGAGTGAGAAGATGGAGTGTTAATGTGTCAGGAGCATCAAGGAAGCCAGTGTCACTGGAGCACAGAGTACATGAAAGGGAATAAGGTATAAGAAAACTGGGAAGGTAGGAAGGGGACAGGTAAGAAGGATATTTCAAAAGCAAACACGGGAGTTCGTATTTGATCCTGAAAGGTAAAAGTGAGTTACTGAAGTTTATTGCATGGGGGATGGGGAGAAACCTATGCTTTAGGAAGATCTGTTTGACATTGTAGTAGATGGTGGACTGGAGGTGGGGAAGACACTTGAGGCAGGCAACTGCTACTATTGTAGTAGTCCGTGCATGAGATGATGAGTTTTGCACTATAGTGGTTATAATGTCAAAGGAAAAAAGGAAGCATTTCTGAGAGATGTTATGAAGATAGAAACAACAGGACTGAATAACTGATTGGATATGGGGCAGGGTTGAGTGTGAGCAATGAAGGATGACACCTAGGTTGTAAGCCCAGGAGATTGAGAGGATGGTGACATTTTGAACAATAGTAAGTAAAGTTAGGAAGGTAGACAGTTTTGGGGAGGGGGTGAGGAAGGAAGGTAATGAGTTCAATTCCAGACATGTTTAGCTTAAGATATCTACAGGACATTCAGTTCAAGATTTTACTAAAACTTAAGAACCCAGATTTCTATTCCTGTAATTCTTATAACTTTCACTGGTTTTCTTTGTTATAGTTTCTTCATTAAATAAGAATTTCTTGTTAATTTTTTGCAGTGGATAAGCCATATGAAATTCTCATATTTAGAATACAGAACCAGGAAACAGTCCAAAAGAGAGGGTTATCTCATATTCAGTGGAGTTTGGATGTGACAGTCATAAATTAAAACGTACCAAAGTAGCTACAGTTAGCATTTGGCTATTAATTACTAGTATTTAAAATATCCTGGCCAATCTGAAATGAATAGCATCTTTGCATAGTTGAAAGCCTAAAAAAGGCACTTGTTAATAGGTTTATGCTATTGGAGTAAAAGATGTAACTGCCTCATTCAGCCACGTTTTAAAGATAACCAGGTTTATTAAACTGAACTTAATTGCATTTCCTAATGGGCACATAGAAATGTCCTCTTTATTATTTCTATACAGAAACTTACAAACCAATGTGCATAAAATATACAAAATTTCAAATATTCACATATTGGAATTTCATAACTAGATCATGGTCCCTAAATATAATGTTCTCTTCTATACCTGGAACATGCAACCCTGAGTTAAGTATGAAAAAACACATATAACCAGACAATACTAAAATCTTGTCAGCAAACTAAATGAAAGATAGAGTGATAATGAATATTATGTTTAATCTTCCCTGAGCCCAAAATTGGTCTTAATATTTTTCAGGACAGCAGACGTTCAAAAGGAGGAAAATCTACTGCCAAATAACTCAGCACCTCCTTCAAAACCATAAAATGTGGAAGAAAGTCATTGAAGATGAGCAACGACTAGGCAGTGGGATGGAAAAGCTAAGTCTAGAAAAATCCACCCTACATCAATCCTCAGAGCAAATCCAGGCAATCCAGGAAGAGGAGGAAGAAAAAGGGAAACCAAAAGGAGAGAACACAGCTACAAATCTGACCCAATGACAATTCACCAAGCATTACTTTAAGCCAGATTGACTTGTGCACAGACTCCTTGCAAGCCAGCACAACATTTAGACACAACACTGTAGAAATGTGGGATAACACACCAATGGCTGTTTCACTTGGAATGTTTTTGTCAGGATTTTGTGTTTTGTTTGTGTTTGTGTTTTTTTTTGTTGTTGTTGTTTCTTCTTTTTTTTCAGTGAGGTACATTGCTTAAACTCATATGCTCAGAGAAGCTTTCTCACTGCAACACTGGCTTCCACAATTTTTTTTTATTTAAGGAAGAAATATATGCATCTGTGTGTATGAACACACACATGCAACACCCAGACACAGACACACATATAATCACACAGAGCCAGAGTTATTGTCTGTACACTTCTGCGACATTCATATAAAATATATAATGGTCACTATTATAGTGCAAGTCATAAAAGGGAATTGTGCTACCTGATACATTTGTGTGTGCAGGTACACGTGTGTGCATGGGGGTAGGAGCTGGGAAAGGGTATGCTAGAGTGTGTGTGTAGGGGAAAGAGAGTGATCGTTGAGAATTTAGTAGATTAGCTATAACATGCGATTCAGCACATGTGAACAAACATAAGGTGCCAGTATTAAGAAAGTTATATCTGTAGTGATGTGGAAGCAGACCCTATAATAGATGTTCTGTTTTGAGAGGCAATAAAATCTCCCCTTGCAGTAGAAGGTGCACTCACTGCTGTCTTCTTGCCAGGGCCATGTCACTGGCAATACTGCTCTTACGCCTTTTAGAGGCATGCTATAACCAACCTCAAACCCATGGGAGCACAGGTGCTTTACATACACTTTAGCCAAATGAACATAGGAAAAATAGTGCGTACAAGCAGTCTGTTTACCAAGGGTTAAGGCAACAGATGAAGACAAAATAGCATTCTTTATTATTTAAGGAAAGACCTGTGATCAAATCATCTAATCAGGTTATTATTCTAGCCAGATGCAGAAGAAGGGGGGGGGGATAGACAGTAGGCTAGAGAATAAATTACATCTTTGCAATTATTCTCCCATGACTTCCATATTTCTTATAAATTTTTAAGCATGTTTTAGGACACAGCTATAAAGAATGAAATGTTTCTAACTGCTTATGTGGTGTTCTTAAATTACAGTGGAAGTTTTATATCTTAGTAACTAATAAAGATTGGCTTATTAGAGGAGCCAGCGAAAACTGCAACTACCCAGCATGAAAGAGTAGCATTACACCTGCTGTGTGATATGGGTTATCTAGCTTCGATTTCCAGGCTTTGGGTACACCAGTGTGTTGTTTTTAACAAAGAAGGAAATTGTATAGAGATTGGGCCTGTTATTGAGGTTTTTTTTTTGTTTTATTGTTGTTGTTGTTTCCACACTTGTTTATGCTGTGAGCCAAACCCCTTTTTAAAATTAGTACTCACTTTCGATATATTTTATTTCATAAAATATTATATTTGTCAATAATTAGTTGTTATGGTGTAAATATGAAGAATTTTTTTGGCCTTGTAGATAGTATACTCTTAAGAAAATAAAAGGGGAAAAGGGACACATTTTTATAAAGTTATTTTTTTATCACCAGTTTTATACATTGTAGCCATCTCCAACCCCAGCGATAAAGTTGTGCATGGTTAGCATAGAGCCCTGTGGCTACACTGGTCTTTGTATTCTGAGTTAGAATCAAAGATGTGAGAAGTTTATGCCAGCTATACTGATATCCATTGAAAATTTGCCAGTAATTTTTGCCCACTAAAAGAATTAGCTTTCCATATTTTCTAAGGTAGAAGATAATTAGGTATTAGTCAACTCATCTAAAAGGTAATTTTTACTAAGTCCCTGTCTCCCTTCGTTTTTTTGTTTATCACATAATGCTTTCTGTGGACCTGCTGACAATGCAAAAAAGAAAATAGAATTTGTTTTCTTATAAATACATTTATTTGTCTCTTCTTTTTCCATTATTCATAGAAGCAAATATTTGCATAAAATACCTTTATTTCTCATAAACAGATCTATTCTCCTCAATCAATGATTTTGCAATGATCTGTAGTGTTTTTGTAAATAGGCAATGAAATAAATAGTAGAAAATACCATTTCTCCACTATTTTCACATTATGAGAGGGGGAATAGAAGAAAACAGATGTGAAGCAAATGTTTATCTAAAGCACTAGAATAGATTTCAAATATTTCAGTATTCTCTTTTTTTAATTATGAACATCTTTACTATTGAAGTGTACTGTTTTGATTCTCCTTGACATGATGGTCAAATGGCTTTATTTTTTTCACAAATTATTCTGAATCCAATATGCTTCTTACAGGGACTTTAAGCATTTGACTGTGTAGGTAGATTTTTTTAATGTGGTTTCCCAGCCATTGCTTCTGATATTCTACTAAAAGTGACTTTTTAGGTGTTTTCTAAACTGAAAATAAAGCCAACAGGTATAGTCTAGGAAAGTAGTACATTGGGTAAATAGACAGGGAGATGGTCTTACCAAAAGTACAAAGCTGCTTCTTAATACAAGTTAGAAATGTCAGATTGCAGATGGCCAAGCAATGGTCTTCATCTTCCAACTTGCCTGTGTACTTAAGAAGTTCATTAATCATGGGAAGGTATTATAAATAGGGATTGTAAATAGTCCTTCCCCAAAATTCATTCTTCAGACCGAAGCAAAGTAATTATATTTAGAAGTTATTCTGAAAGAAAAACAGTTCTTTAACAAAGGAAGAAATTGGTTGGTAAATATAGTATGCACAAATATATCCATGATGGTTTTCATACTAATGCAATTAACTCCAAATTTGGTCCTAGGGATATTGTCTAATATTTTCCTTTGGTGACAAAGTAATATTGATGCGTATTTCCATTTCCCTCAGCTATTTCCTATGGTGCCAGTATATCTATTGCAATTGATTCTGTTTTTATAAGCATCTATTTGTAGGTATAGTTAGACAAACTCAGGTCTTATTAATGAAGGGATTTCTAATCAGTTTAATTAAAAGGCTCATTCTTTATATAAACTCTAAAAAGAGATACAGATAAAGTTGATAATAATTGATTGCTTTAAATTGAATAAAAAAAATCACTTCCAGGGTGCTATTAGGACCTCTTTTCAATCACTATCTACTGTAACTGATCTAGATGAATGAGGACTCTTAGGACCTTCAGAAAGTGGTTTCTACCATGAAACAATTATAAAAATTTCCCAAGACTAGAATTTTAGCTGTAAACAATCTTTTTGTTTATTTTTATAATTAATATGTAAACACGGTTTTGATATGAGTAAAAGATGAAGACATTAGCTTTGTTCAGAAATTTATGTATGTCAGTCTTCATCACATAAGAGCGAGCATCCAACATCAGGCAACAAAAATTGTATACACTTTTGTGAATGAAGATTGTTTGATTCTTGTTATCTTTTACTTGTTGTCCTGGACTTACCTCCCCCCTCAGAAGCCCAGTCAGTGAAGTCATGTTAAAAAAAAAAGAGTTGTATTTCATCTACAGTGTTCACATTGAAACCCAGAAATATAAAACGTTGGTTTGAAATTACTATATGTAACATATGCCTTATAATGAATTTTCACTCTATTCCTATGTGTCCCCATTGTCTCAGCCTTAAAAGTCCATTTAAGTGTAAAAGTTGTGCTGGGGGGATGAGACCTAACACTTGTTTAAGTAATAATTTAAAAAAAAAGAAATTTAAAGTATTTTCTAAGTAATAAATTTATACAAATTTTCATTCTAAATAAAGGTTAAGGTTTGAAATGATTAACAAATAGAGACTTTGATTGTTATGTAGTCAACTCTCAATTATCCACATTACTAGAGAGAAGTAAATGGTAAAAATCCAAAAAAAATTACATTTGGTTTTAGAAAATGTTTTATGTTTAATTTTAGATAGGTATATCCAGTGTTTACAGAATTCACATTATTTCAAACAATAATTAAAATAAGCTATAAAATTCAGATTGTCTTGATTCTATATCCTGCCCCTTCTTCAATTCATTTGCTGATTTCCACTCCATTATGACAGAGATGCTACTGGCTCATGGAAATAGCTTAAAACTTATTTCTGTGAATATGTTAATTTACTTCTAGATTAGAGTAAAGCACATTTTTGCACATGTTTAATAGAGTGAAGTATTTTGTTATATAGCATAGATAATAATATCCACAAGAATTTGAAGGCAGATGGGCACATCTTCAGATAGTTGAGGATTGACTGCATTCTGAAATGAAATTGTGTTTCTTTCATCTATATTTTCTTAACAAATCTCTTATCAACTGGATTCCTTTGCAAATAAGTTCAAGTTACCAGACCTGGACTTTCCAGAATACTGAAAAACAAAAAATAAAAACTGGTGGATTATGACTGCTCAACTGCAGCCGATAATTGAACAATCATGGAAAATGGGAGAAGTTCCACATACTGGAGGACAAATGTTATTCTGCTTTTCAAAAAAAGGGCAAAGAATGGAGTCTACAAATTATAAGCTCAACTTTGAATCCTGGCAAAATTCTAGATGTATTTTTACAGGAATGCTTAGCGAACATCTAAAAAAGAAAGGTGATTGCCAAGAACCAGCCAACATGGCTCTGGCAAAAAGAGATCATGCCAAATTAATCCCATTTCCTTTTGTTTTTGAAGGGTTTAGTACACTTGCAGATGATAGAAATAATAGAGAGACAGTTGTTCTTAATATTATGAAAACAATTGACAAAGAGTCTCTTGCTATTGTGAACAAAATGAAAATATTTAGGAGAGACAATTAGTTGTCTTGAGAACTGAGTTACAGAGTAGTCATTAAAAGTGCAGTATCATGGTAGAATGAAGTTACCAGTGGAGCTCACTAGAGATTTAAATAGTTTTACTCTTTTTTTTAATAGATGAAACCCTTGTTAAATTTACAGACAACTAAAATCCTAACATACCAGATGACAATCAGGACCCCAGATGATCTCAATAGGTTAAATTGTTGGAGCAAATTCAATAAGATGAGATATAATTAATTTAATGTTTTAGACTTAACCTCGAAAAATGAATTTCACAAATATAAACTAGGGGAGGCATGACAAGAAAAGAGTGCATCTAAAAAGATTCTGGGTGTTTTAGTTGGCTGAAACTTTGCTAGCAATCAACAGTGTAATATGGCAACCAAAATAACGTTCTCATTGAGAAACATAGTCCCTGGGGCAAAGGATGTTATGCTATACCTGCACATCACCATGGTCAAATTACTTCTGTAGTATTATATTTAATTCCAAGTAATATGACTCAAGAAGGACAATCAAAGTCATCTCAACAAGGGCAGAGATAATAAAATACTGAAAGATGATATTGTTTGAAGGAAACAGAAGCAGAAGAGAAGGCTTGGAGGTGGAGTGAAGAGGTGATGTTAATGTCATTATGAAGGGCTCTAATATGGAAGAGGAATTGGATTTTTTTTGGCGCGGCCCCAGAGAACAAAACTTGCATGAATGAGTAGATGTTGCAAAGCAGCAAGTTTAGACTTCATGTGAGGAAAATTTGCTGAAAATTAGAGCTATTCAAAGGTAGAAAGCAATGCTTTAGATGATAATGCCTACCACACAAAGGAAAGACAACAATTTGGCTGTATCATAGATTAGATTCTTATTTAAGCAAGGATTAGGCTAGATGAACCACAGCATTCCTTCCAACACTAATATCCTGTAATTTTGATACTTTTTATTAATTCTATGAACCACTATTTATTTTTGTTTTGCTGAAGAGAAATAACAACCTTTATTTTTGTCTCCTGGGGGGCTTTTAAGCATTTTTTTCTCCTGATAATATTTTGACCATTATCTTTTTAAGTGAAATTTGTTGGTAATTGTAGTGAATTGTTGTCAGTCATGGGTCACCTGAATCTCACCTTCTTTTCCACTTTGAAGCTTTGAAAGCACTATTTGTCTTGGGTAATTCTTTTTCTGGCTTTGTTGAGAAGTAATCATAACTTTTGGAGTTCAAGACTACAAGATTAACTCTTTGGCATGAAAAGTGTCTACAAATGATATCATAGGACTTTAAGAAGAAATTATTCCAATTTTGGTTGCTAGACTCAAAGTTTTTTTTTTACTACCAAAGAATTAACTCAGACTATTTGCTAAATTTTGGAGATTTTAAAAAGTGAAATTATAATTTTTTAATTGCTTAAAGGACTTAAAACTGAAATATGAAGGAGAAATTTTGCATTAATAATTTGAGTTAATATGGTATAGCATTTTCTAGTCTATACCAAAGTCATTTAATTTGATGTGCCTAATTGCATAGTATGTGGTATTAGCCAACAAATTTCATTTTGAGAATGGAAAGAATGCTAAGGAGATACAGTATTATTTTTTTTTAACTTTACCTATTAACTCTGCCTCAGAAATCATTCTAGCTATATGTTAATGTTGGAATAAAAAAAAATAAATTGAGAATTGGATACTGCACATGATTGAAAATGGTGCAGTACAGTTGAGGAACTGATTAGGATCCTAAGGCCTTTTAAACAACTCTCCTGCTCTGTAGTCTTAATAAGGAAGCTTTTGAAAATTCTACAGTCAGGAAAAGCTATTTCAGCATAAACAACAACCATAAATAATAACTAGGGAATTACGATATAATAGAATTGAAAAATTTTTAAATGAATTTGGTATGAGCACAAAATCCCTGTTAGAACTGAAATAGTCTTCTTTTGGACCAGGAAGGGCCTCTCATTCTTGCACCCCTAAAATCGATCTCTAAGAATATCTGGTAATTTTGGAGTGGTACACAATGCATATAATGAACTCTTTTCTTGATGCCAAGAGTTTGTGTGGTTTCACAGAGAAAAGTAGTAGGTTATATTGTGCACTTTCTCAGATTTTCATTTTAATCCCCCAAATCTGGAATTGCACTAAAAAAAAATATTACTAGTGCACATGAGCAGCACTGGCACTATTTTCAGAGAATCACAGAATGTTAGAACTGGGAAGGATTGTAGTGCAATACATTTGTTTTGCAGATAAGGAAGCAGAGGCCCAGAGAGATTAAATAACTTTCCTCGATTCAAAGAGCTAGAAAATCGGTACAGAAATAACATTCCTTTCACTATACCACTTTTAATTTGTAATTTTCTTTCTTGAATTAACTTCATGCTACATTAGCTACATTTTCTCAGTTAAAAAACACAATTATGATTGCTATTCATATTATTTGGTACACTTAGGCTCTGTATGGAAAAAAAAGAAAAAGAAAGAAAACTAGGTTGACAAAGTGAAAATAAGGTGTTGAGCATCTTTGGGCATTGTCATACCTGCTTCAGAACAAAAATGGAGAACAGACCTATTGAATATTTGAGATGAATAAGTAGACTGTTTTAGTCCTAAGATCTGAACTTTAATAAAGCAAAATATATTAAGGAGTTTGCTTGTCTTCTGTTAAATGACCTAAAGAATGAAGCATGTTCTGAAGAAAATTCATCTTTGTAATACCAAGACTTCATTATAAAATGCTATGTCCATTTAATTGTAATAAATGCCTTTGAATCCTTATAGTTACATCCACTGGTTTAAGAATGTTTGATATTAACCTTTATTTTAACAGATGATCAAACAACTTTTGATTACGTGTAGTATGCAGTTTTTCTTCAGCTTAATGTCCTCTTCCTTCATATGCAAAATGTATTATCAAATGGTAATATTATAGATTAAAATTCTGCAGCGCATTTAAAAGATAACAGCAATATCAGTGCTGTAGTCTAGTGTATTTCCTTTGAGGTCAATGAGATATTGTAGAATTGCATTTGATTAATTTGCTTGAAACAGCCAAATCTTTTAAAAAGGAAGAGGTCTCATTTTGAACATGGTCTTTGATTTCAGGTGCAAAGTTACAATTGGGCAAACAAATGCCAAGCAAAAATTACTTATCACTAAACTACAATAAGTAAATATCATTTTTTATGCTCATATTTAACTTTTCTACTTAGTTTGATGGAACAGGCCTTGAAGGTGAGAAGCGAGAATGTATTTTCATAGGTGTGGAAGAAAGAGAAGCTATGTGAGAAGAATAAAAGTGTGAATTGGGAATAAAAGCTACAAAGAATTTGGAGGAAATTCTCAGGACAAATTGTTCTACTATTTTTCCATCAGACTTAGACTTTATGCTACTCTAAACCAAATGCATTTAAATATTCTATATTTCATAATTGTCCTCCCTTACCACAATGAACCATTACAAAGTATTCAACATGAATTAGCCATAACTTCTTGGAAGAATTGCTTCTTGGAAGTACCTATAGACACAGGGTTTCTTTGCCATTATAGTAGCTTTGTTCTGCATCTGTTAACATTCCACCTATCTCTTTAGTGTAAAATATAAGGAAGTATTTAATGGTATGTATATAATATGTTTGATGGTAGAATGTTCACTTTTCTTTTATTAAAATTCTAAGCTTGTCCTTTTGTATGATGTGAGATCACATTTTATTGTAGGAATTTCATTTTAAGAATTTAAGAAAGTAATCCATTACTAGAATGTTATATTTAAAGGGAAATAGCATTTATAACATATATATCTCACACATGTTTATATAACATATAAATTGTTTATATATACATATTAGGTGTACTCAATAGTTTGACTTTGGTGTATATTTGGTCATTATCAAAGCTTAAAATTGTTTAATAATCAGTCTAAGATATTTGCATGGGTGTTAATTTTTTTTCTTGCTTTTGTGATCCTTTTTCTCACTGATGGTTGACAGCATTTTTAAACATTTTCACAAAGTAATGAATAATATATTTGAATTTCAAGTATATATATATATATATATATATATATATATATATATATATATATATATATATATATTTTGACAAACACTGAAAATATAAATCATTTGGCTGCTCATGTAGATATTTCCTACTTCCTAGATGTGATCAGAAGTACATTGGTCTCTGATAGCATGCCAGAGTGGAATGGGAACTGGATTTGGAGTCAGAGAACCTGAATTCAAATCTCAGCTCTGCAATTACCTGTGCAAATGAGGCCAAGTCACTTATTCTCTCTGAACATCATTTTCTTATCTTTAAATCAGAGGATGCATAAGATGACCTCTAGGGTCCCTTCCACTTCTAAATTTATAATGCTATGACTTTTTTTCTGGATTCTTATAGCAATAACATCCAAACAAGCAAGAAACAACAGAAATCTGCAATCAGCATTGTTTGTTGTAGGATTTTTTTCTATTTTGGTATTAAGGATGTTTTCCTGTTTTCAGGTATTTCTAGCCAATTTGCTACCTTTCATGGTAGCAAGCTGTCGGTGGAAACTATCAGTATGTCATGGAAAGTTGCCAATGAATTCATTTTAAGAATTTAACTTGGAGAGCTTTTCTATAAACCAGAGAGTTCTATTTGAAAGGATGTGGTGGGGCTTCATTTGGAGTTCCCAAAAGGTGACATTTTCACAAACTTGTTTGTTCATCAGAGTGAAGATTCACAGGGCACAAATTTTTTAAGACAGATATTCTTGTAGCCAAATTTCTCTACCTTTAGAAACACTCCAAAAACAAATTATGCCTATTTTAGTGATTTTTTTTTTACAGGTGAAATAGATGTTTTCCTTTTACCTGTATCTAGTACTTAATATATGTAATCATATTTAATATATTCCATTCATAAATAGTTGTGAAGTGATTTAGTTGTTTTGTACAAAATAGAATAGCTGTACAGAAAAAAAATTCTTTTACATAAACATTATTTATTTTTATGGTTTTATAACCTGAACACTATACAGAAGGTACTCTTTTGCCAGAATTATTGGAAGTGCCTCTTGGTAATATATATAATATAATAAATGTGTATTAAGCTTATTAAAACTATTTGTCAGAAATTAAAACTTTGGGTGTTGCAACATAAATATAATTCTATGATATGATGATTGCTGTAGTTATTCTTTTGATTCTTCTTTTTTCATCATGGACATTTTTGTTGCCCAGAATGTTGTGATAGCTAGATTTTTCATGATTCATCAAAGTTCAGAATTACAGGGCTCATGGATATTTTTATAAATATGCCCTACATAAAATTTCTGGTCAATCTCATTACAAAATAACTTTATCATCCCATTGAACTGAACTCTGTCTGAAAGTTGGGAAACTCCATTACAATCTTGTGTGTCCAATTATTTAAGAGACAAATGAGATGGTCAATTTCCAAAAGTAGTCTCTCCTTGTGTCTTCCTCTTCCCTTTCTTTTTTTCTCTTTAGTCTCTATTCTGTCTCCAATTCTTGCTCCTTTTCCGTTCCAAAACCATCAACTTCTTCCAGGCATTAGCAATGAATGAGCTTAACTTATTTAACACCAAAATAGATTTTCAATGAAAAGAAGTATTTTCAATTATTCCAAAGGAATCCAGAGATAAGCAAGTTATTTGACAAGCAAACACATTAAATGAGACAAAAAACCAAGACAAAGAAAATGCAAAACAAAGAAGCACTTAATTATGGTTTATAAGAAAAGACTAAATAATTATCTCTTGCATATAAAACAAGAAAATATTTGATTTAAAAGTATTCTGATATTGGTCAAAGACCAAAGGAAAATCATCTACACCAATCATTCTCAGACACTTTTGATCATGCAAACGTCATTTTTTCCCCTCTGGTGTATATATTGGTTGGAGGAAGAGCTGTTTACTACCTTAAGGAGTGACTCCTGGCTTAGAAGAGAGGAAGTTTAGGAATTTGTAAAAGATATGGAAGGAGTAGGAGAGTGTTAGAGTATAATTAGTTAACATTATGTTGGACACAAGGAAGAGAATAAGATGTATCACACCTCCCCATCATTTGATTGATTACATGCCCGTTGGAGTCATGTCAGGGGCCACTAAAGGCCTTTAGCCTTTACTTTAAAGATAACCCCCAGATCTGGAGGTATAAAAGCTGAGAGGACTAAAAAAGCCAGAAGAAGGCCAGGAAGAAGAATTGAATTATATTCCATGGATTAAGACTTCCCTCAAGAGTAGGCAGAAACAGAATAGCTCAACTCACTTAAAACTACTGGAGCAAGAATGATTTTTAAAAAAAGAGTACTTGACATAGCAATAATCAAGAAATCCAAAAGAAAAACTGAAGGAAGTGCATTTTCTCAGGCCAAGTCCATGCAAAGAAACAGCTATTTATTTACACACATTGTGGGGGCACTACGCAAGAAGTCCAAACAGAAAAGGCTGGGTTGGGAGCATATTTCTCAGGAGCAAACAGGAAACTTGGAGTTTACAGAGATGTATGGGCTTAGGGAGATAGGAGTTAGACTAGGGTTTAGCCAAGGGAGTCTAGACCCTGGAACTATGTCATTCTAATGCCATACTAAGGCTCAGGAACCTGGGGGGTTTTGACTCAGAGGATAATAATCAGAGAACACTGTGTAGACAGCCCTGGTACACAGCTCTGCCTTCTAATCTGCTCCTTTTGTCTTTGAAAAACAAGTACTCATCATCCAGATCTCTATTTATACAGATTAAGACCAATGAAGGACCCACACTTCCTTCTAGAAGTACATAGACCCTTTTACTGAAAAAAGCTCTAATTCAGGAGAAAAAAAGAATAAAAATTGAGTAAAAATAATAAAATATTGATAATTAACAATATTAAAGAACCACAGAACTCAAAAATGCAAAACTAGAAGAAAATATTTCTGAATCATTTACAAAGACTCAAAGAATATTAAGTTTTTCACAAGCTCTACTTGAATTCCCGAAAGAAGGAAAAATTGATGAATAAATCTAAAAAAGTATTTAAAATTAGTTTAGTAAAAAAAATCAAGTTAATAAAAAAAAGGGTTTCTAATTCCCAGGAATGAGAATAAGAAATAAATTAGCACAAAATGAAGAAAATTATTAGAAACTATTTCACCCAATTACATGCCAACAAAACTATTTAAATGAAATGCATTACCACCTCCAAAAGTTTAAAATACATAAACAGAATAAGAAATGGGGACTTTAAATGAGCAATTATAGAAAAAGAAGCTAAGCCATACATAAATGAAGCTTCAAACAAAAAAACAAATCAGGATTAGTTGATTTATAGTGAATTCTGTCAAGCGTTCAAAGAAAATTAATTAAATATTACAGAAACTGCTTACCAAAATAAGAAAATAAGAGATCATAAAAATTTATTCTAAAACATAAATACAGTCTAGATACCTAAACCAGGGAGAGAGAAAATAGAGAATAAAACAATCCCAATAGCTATTATGACAATGGTAAAATTTTTAAATAAAAAATTATCAGAGGCTACACTAACATACCAAAAAAAAAAATTTAAGCAGTGACAAAGTAGGATTTCTACTAGGAATTCAAGGCTTTTATAATATCAGGAAAATTGTAAACATTATAGACAACATTAATAACATAAATAATTCAAATGACAGTATTATATCAATACATGTAGAGCTAGCTCTTGACAAAATACCACTTCCATTAATGTTTTAAAATGCTTTAAAAAGACATAGGGATAAATTAAATTTCTTAATATGTTAAATAATATTTCTCTAAAACCAAGAGCCAGGATTACATGTAATGGAGATAAACTAGAGACCTTCCCAATAAAAGCAAGAATAAGGCAAGGTGTCCATTATCACCATTATTGTTTGATAATAGTGGTAGAAATATATTTGAGATATTAAAGTAATAAGACAAAGAAAAAAGAAATTAAGGCTGTGGAAACAATTATCAAATTTTGCAGACAATATTATAATCCAGATATGGGACTCCATTCAGAGTCAAAAACCAAAAACATTAGAACAAAAATTTCAGAAAATAAATCCATAGAACGTATCAACCTTTCTATATATTGCCAACAAAATCTAGCAAGAAGAAATAGAAAGGAACAATTCACTTCTAAGTAACTCTCAGATGTATAAGACATTTACAGGTCTACCTACTAAGATACATAAGATCTAGATGGATAAAGTTACAAAACACTTATTAGGAAAATGAATATGAATCTAAACAAGTGGAGAGATGATAATTACCCATGGTTGAGCCATGTCAGTGTAATAAAAATGAAAATGTTACCTAAACTAACTTACTTCTTCAGTGCCACAACAATCAGTCTTCTAAAAGATTACTTTAGAAAACTAGACACAACAATGTAATTCATTTGGAAGTTCAAGATTCAAAAGTGAATTAATGAAAAGATTTAAGAAAACATAAGGCCTCATATTATGAGATCTCAAACTATTCTATAAATCAATAATTCTTTAAAAACAATTTCATACTTTTTTTCAAATAGGAAAGTCAATCAGTGGACTTTTTCAGGTCCTTAATATACAGGACAAAGCAGACATAATAACCTAGTGTTTGATGCAGCCAACAACTCCAACTAACGAGGTAGGAAATCTCTGACAAAAACTGCTAAGAAACTCAGTAGACAGCTTTTGTAGAACTTATATTTAC